AAAATCATTTTTAACACGTGTTTAATGATACATAATGAAACTTTATATACAATGAATTTTTATTAAAAATTAAATAATAATATTAAATTAAAGCAGTTGTGATTTCAATGCACGTTCCATCCCCACGCTTGATTAATATAAGCCAATTGGTGCATATCTTACTTACTCTGCCTCTTTATTAACCAGCTTTGTCTCTTTACTTTTATTTTTATTTAACTGACTCTTTTAATTTTTTTAAATTTGGTTTATCTATTTATTTCTTTTATTTGAAAATCTTCAATTATTAATTTTTTGTCTGAATACTTGAAAAATATTCGATAAAGTTATTATATATTGGTTGTAAAAGCGTCATTTACCTTTATCTAACTTCAAAATAGCAATACATAACGTTAAAATGTAAATAAATGGACATTAATTTTGAAAAACGTATTGTAATAATATTTCAAAATGTAAACAACATGACACTACAGTGACCTCATCTAACGGTGTCAGCTCGACTTCACTCAGTCACGTGACAGTATAAAATACATCAAAATATAAAATGAGACAGTATAAAATACTTTTTTTTTATTAAAAAAGTTATAAAGTAATTTTTAATAATGATATTTTATATTTTTGATTCACTAAATATATTTAATTAAATTATTTATTAAAAAGATATATATGACAATTTTAATGAGTGTTTTAAATATATTAATTAAGAATTTAAATAAGAAAAAATATTTAAAAAATTATTAAATACATGTCTATTTTATTTTTAATGCATTCTTTAACTTTTAATAAAATATTCATTCTCTAACTAATAATATTAAGATACTTATTAAAAAATAATATTTTTAATATGTATCTAATAATACAATAAAAAAATTACATATTAAAATTAAGAAAATATAAAATAATTAATACATCTTTGTCTTAAACTTGAGACTGAAATTAAGTTAGAATATACATTTTTAAATAATATATATATATATATATATATATTATCATTTATGATATGCTTGAGATATATATTAAAATTTTTGAGAAAATAAGAGTTATAATTTATAAATGCACCACATAAACATAGGATAGTTGAAAAATGATGGATGATTAATGGGAAGGTTGAAAAGTGGTAACTAAGGAATCGAAAATGGTTGAGCTTGGACGGCACGGAACGGACCACTTCTATTTATTGTCTCATTCAATCACTGATTAATGACTCACTGACACAATACGTGACAAACACTATCTTGTTTTGTGTGATTCCATTCAAAACATGCGCTGCGCTCATAAACTCTCCCTTTTTCAAATTCTACCTTTCCTTTTACTCCTTGTATAAACCCTTGCTTGTTTTAAAATTATAATATTAACTATTATTATATTTTTAATCTTATTTATATAAAAATATATATAATTTATTAAAATTATATACATTATAAATATTTATAATAATAAAATTTATATTTTATACATTAAAGAAAAAACAAATGTTAATAAGTGTGTTAAGAATAAGTAACTACAAACTTTGATAAAAACTAAATATTTAACTAAGTCATAAAATTATAATTTTTTACATCAGTTAATGTAATTTTTTTAATTTAACAATGGTATAATAAATTTTTAACAACTAATACATTTTCTCTCAAAAAATTAATTACTTTTTTTGAAACTCTAGCAATCAATGTAGGTAAAAATATGTCTTTTTTAACTATGACAAAAAATTTGATGATGAATTTTATAAATAATATTCACATTAACTTTTTAAATAAATAAATGATCATGATTAATAAAATTAAGATTTCATATTATATTTCTAAAATATTTATAATATTAAATAATTTAATTAATGTTTTATATTTCAAACAACTAAATATATCTATTTATATAAGTATTGAATGAATATATTATTAATATAATTTTCATAATAAATAAGAGTATAAAAATAATTTAACCATTGATCTATTTAAAATAATTTTTTATTTTTTATAATTAAGACTATAAAATATTAGCAGTTATTTTAAGAAAAAAATTAAAATATTTTTAAATATAAAATTTATATTCTAATAAAAATGTTTGTTCTTATAATTTATACATATATTTTTATTGAATACAATGACTTAAAATCATTTTAATCATACTTGATTCTCAACCTTATGACTATGCTTACATCATTTGAAACTTAAAATTTATTTTAATACTATAAGTTATTAAATTAACTTAAAATGTAATTTAAGGTGGTTTAGTTAAATTTTTTTATCCAATTTAATCTAAATTTAATTCGAGTTGCGTATCTAGATGTGGTGAGTGAGTTTATCACTAAATTTTTTTTGCACATATAAATACTCAAATCTAAAATATTGTTTAAGCGATATCGAACTATTGCTATTTAGACCAACTTCAATTAGTTGATTTAATTAAACTTTAAACACAACACACGTAATATACAAATATATAATTTTTTTATTTTTTAAATAAGAGAAAAATTAGCAAAATTATTAACTTATAAATATAATAATTAATACAAATATTTAATAATTATAATTATTTTTAAAATTTAAAATATATTAATTTTCATATTTTATTAAATCATTGATATATTATTAAAATGTTCTATTTCAAAAACAGTTATAATATTAATTGGTTTCTTGTATATTAAAACAATAAATATATCTATTTATATAGATAAAGGGTGAGTGCTTTATTAACATAAATCTTATCATAAATAAAAAAAATAAAAAAATAATATTATAATTAATATATTTAAAATTTAGTATTTATTTCTTATATTTTGAATAAAAAATGTTGATAGTTATTTTTTTAAAACAAAATTTGGTTTCTTGTATATTAAAACAATAAATATATCTATTTATATAGATAAAGGGTGAGTGCTTTATTAACATAAATCTTATCATAAATAAAAAATATAAAAATAATATTATAATTAATATATTTAAAATTTAGTATTTATTTCTTATATTTTGAATAAAAAATGTTGATAGTTATTTTTTTAAAACAAAACACAATGTAGTATAATTTTAGTTAAAGATTAATTTTAAAGAATATCCGTTACCACTTTTATATATTAATTGTTACTCTTATTTAATAATTTTATATAAAAATATATTTTTTATTAAATATATTTATATAGTGAAAAAATTGTATTTAAAAAAAAATATTTGAAATGAAAGTAGATATTTAATAGTGATAATAAATACAACTTTAATTTTAATTCACGGTAATTATAAAAATTTATATATATAAAAGTCAGCTTTATTTTCTTTATTTTATAAATAAAAATTTATGTTCTTCATATTTTTTTTGAGATTTTTATTTATTAGAAAATATATTATGCAATTTTGGAAATTTTATTTTGTTTAAAACCATTGTTGAACGAACTAAACCTTTTTTTTTTTTACTGGAATTGAACGAGCTCAACTTAAATAAGAAAGAGTACTAATCACGCAATATAAACGTTTACGGAAAAATAAACTGTTCTTCACACTAGTTGCAATTTTTATTTTGCAAAAAAATAAAAAACAAAAAGATAGTTGCTTTATTTTTAAATAAATTAAAGGTGGTTTCAAAATTTACACGTATCACATTTAAAATTTTAAAGTTTACGATTTCGAAATTGAATTCTAATATATTATTCAACATTAAGATTGAGTTTTCTGTACGTGAATATGATTAATTTCAACACGACACGTTTAAAATAAAACACGCTAAAGTAAAACGTAAAATCATAATTGTTTATTTAAAAATTATTAATTCATATTATAAAAAAACAACTGCACATTTGAAATTTTTTTTAATCAATAAATCAACAAACTCGAGTAGATAAAAACAAACAAATATCTTATAATAAATAATGGTTGTACAAATTTTATTTATTAAATGAGTTAAAATTAAATTTTTATGAGTAAAAGTGTGGATATGAGCATTATTATTATTATTAAACTCTATTCACAGTCACACATTAAGCTAATTAACTAATCTAAAAGAGGGTAACGTATTTGAGTTTGTGCACGAGTAATCTACTAACAAATAAGTTTATACTTGTCATTTATGTAAAGTAAATGCTAATTAATACTTTTAAGACACTAGTTGAAGAATTTTTTTTTAATAAAAAATATACTTTTTTTCTTGATGTAACATAAATTATAATAAAATTTTATTCTTTTTAATCTCCTAACGGTCATTGGTTTGCAAAATCCTTTATGCAAATATGAAAGTGAAAAATGCGATAATTTTGTAAGAATTGAGTTTTGTCACTAATATAATTTTTATATTTATATAAGAAATTTTATTATATCAATATTTTTTTTACCTTTATAATAATTAATTTAAAAATTACATTCATAGTAAATTTTAATCTATTAAGAATGGTTTTTTTTTTAATATATGCAACATTATACAAAATAAAAAATTATATATAATAATAAGTTATTAAAAATTATAATATTTAACTGTATAAATATATTAAAATACATATTTTTTTATTTTTTATTTTAGCTTCTTATATGCAATGGCGTAAGGGTTAAAAAAGTTAAAAAAATTTACATTAAGTAAAAAAAAATATAAAGTGTGAATATATAGATAAAAATTGTAATAGATAGTCTAAAATTGACGTGATAGTGTATCCACCTAAGATTTGTAATTTTGAAAGAAAGAGGAAGCAGACATAAACATGAAGCTTTTTTCAAATTCCCATAAGCAGGCAAACAGTGTCCGACGTTGGAAATAAATACTAAAAATAGAGAGAAACTCCAAACACGAACGCACACTGGCATTAACAAACACACACTTTTTCATTTCAAATCTCTGTTCTTCCACTTCACGAGGTTGCACGCCAACAACCTCTTCACCATTTACTCCTCTCTCTCTCTCTCTACCTGTCTTACTGCTATATCCCAGATATTGATATTCCTTTCAAACCCTTCTTTTTAGTACTATCATCATCGTCATCATCATCAACAACAACTTGTTTGCGTTTCACATCACTGCATGAAACTGTAAACATGGCCACAGCACCACCCAGAAGACCCAGATGGCACCACCACCCTCCTCCTCCTCCCACTCCCAGGATCCTTCACTTCCCTCGCCGTCCTCGCCGGAGACCCCCTCCCGTAGGTGCTCGGAAAGTCAACAACAAGTTGGAGACTCTCTTTGATCGAGAAAGAATAGTGGTTTTGAGTGAACGGAGGAGGGAGAGAGTGGAAAGTGTGAGCGAGAGTGAGAAAGGGTGTGCTTTGGAGGAAGAGAAGTGGAAGTTTCAGGCTGAGATGTTGAGGGCAGAATGTAACTTGTTGAGAATGGAGAAGGAGATTGCTGTTAAGAAGTTAGAGAGAACTCGTGTTAAGATGGAAACAACTCTAAGATCTGCGCTTCACCCTCTTCTTTCTGTCAGTGCCTTCTTTTCTTATTATCTCATATTCTCCACTTATTTTGATTGTGTGTGTGTGTTATAATTTGAAGTTAGTTATGATTTGTTTGTCCAATCCAATGCATGTTATGGTGCAATTGTGAAGGTTAATTGGGGCGTACTTTCTTTCTTTTCCTTGATTTTCTTAGCAATGGTGTTAATGGTTATTGTGTTGTCACACTTGTTGCACTATGAGACTGGTGGCTAATTGTACTTGCTAGTTTTGGGTGATTTTGCTTTACTGCTTGTGATGGTTTGCACCTTCTGATTAGTGGAATGACTGCAGAGAAGAATAAAGATTTGTGAAGGAAAGAATGTCGATAAGGTTTTGGATGAAGAGATTCATGATTTGACAGTGAAACTTCAGAAATTGCGGAAGAGATCAACGGTTAAGGATTTAGGGGCTAGGAATAACAGAAATTTTGACAAACAGGCTTCTGTTCTGCAGAGACGACTTGAGAAGATTGGAGGATCGTCCGATGAGGTATATTTGACGGGGTTTCAAGAGATGGAAAATGTAAGATTGTCTATTAAAACAAGTGGCAGATTTCATGACAGCGTTGTTCCAAGTGGAAAACTAAATGTAAGTCAAAATGTAACCATAATGTTGTGCTGTTTTGTAAGCATTATTGTATCAGTTAAAATTAGAGTTTTATTTTAATAATTTGTATGTAATGTTATTACATATTATCAAGATAAAACTATAGTTTTGATTTGTAAATACTAACTAGCACCAACAATATTTTAAGAACTGTGACTAAATCTTTTCTCCTAACTAATTGTTCCAAGTGAAATTTATATCTCCAATGAGATATCTAATTTAAACAAACACTAATTGTTAATTACTACTATTATGTATTTTGTCCAAGCATGCCATAAAAGGCATTTTTTTTTCTCCTTTTGTCTTTTTTAATATTTTGGTGTTTTCTTATTGATTTGATTAAAATTTACAGGTGGAGATTCTGAGGAGGAAAATGGAGGGGTTGTCAAAGGGGATATTATTACAAAGAATGGAGGAAGAATATAATTCACTGCTGTCTACTGCTAGTAATTCTCTTGCAAGTTCTGGCTCAACTTCCAAGAGAGTTGAATTTCAAGATTCATCTTCCGTACGAGTACCTCATCAGGCATATCCTTGATTTCTTTGCTCATCACTAGTTGATAGTAGGCTATTGTTAATAATTAGATAAATGTACATGTACACTACAAACACACATAAATATGAACAAATATACCCTGTTTAATCTGACTTAAAAAATCCCACCATAAATAGAAAAATCTCTGTACATGATTTGACTTTCTTAGTGTACTACAAATTCTTTTTAAGACCCAAAAAAAAAAAGAAATTTCAGAGTGATCAACCTTTTTGATGTAAAACAATTTTCTTGACCAACTGAATTAAGAGAATGGATTCTTACAGACCTTGGATTCACAAATCCTGCAGGAAAAATTGTCCTGTGAAGGGAATATGTGTTCAGGACATTGCAAGACTATTGTTCGAAGAATTGTAGAGCAAGTTAGAGCTGAGACTGAGCAGTGGTCTCAAATGCAGGAGATGCTTGGTCAGGTGAGGGAAGAAATGGAGGAATTGCAGGCTTCACGAGATCATTGGGAAGATCGAGCTCGGCATTCTGATTCTCAAATCCAATCCCTACACAATGCTGTATGATACGGTTCACTGTTTCTACTTGTTCTATATTTCCCATTTCTTAGTCTTCCTTTAAGCTCTTGTTTCTTTGGCAACAATACTTGTAAACTCCATAGTCTTTCTAAACAAAGTTGCTATGCCTGCGGTTTGCTGACATTGTTCTGGTACTTCAGTGAGCACCATATTTTCTTAACCTATTTGCTAACGTATAGGCATGGCTAGTTGTCTTGTTTGACAACTATAAATGTTTCGACCTCTATGATAAAATTTTCCCTATATGTCATCTGATTATCCTAATCTTTCTCTTTGAATCAAATTTTCAAAGAGAGCATTTTTGGCAAATAGCCATGAAAAAGGGTTTTTTTTTTTTGGTGACAAAGAAATTGGTTTTTGTCATGCCCACAGTAGGCAATTGGACTTCCGTAAGCTCAACATTGGTGCATATGACTCAAGAGTCATAGATTTAAATGAATCACTATCGTAAAGTGTATTCATAAATGAGTTTTTGGCAGATTAAACAAGAGGTTTGGTTTGGTGGTGTATTTGGTCTCTCAATGTTGGCCTTAATCTTCTGTTTTTTTCTTTTTTCGCAGGTGCAAGAATGGAAACAACGAGCTCTTTCATCTGAAAGCAAAACAAATGAGCTTGAAGCAAAACTCTCTGTGCTCTGTGGTGATCTTGAAAGGTTGAGGAAGGAACAAAATGCAGCTCAGGAGACCAAATGTTCACCAATTCCCTTGGAGTCACAGAATGAGTTGGAGAAGCGAATAATGGTTTGTTGCTCAAAGGAAAATAATAATGCTAAAGAAAACAGCAAACATAATGAGGTTTTAAGAAAAGGACATGCTACTAGAGGTGGAATCATAGCCCCAAAACGATCACCATTCCAAGACATTGGGAACCAATCATCATTGATGAGGCAAAATGGCAAAGCAGTTTTCCCTTTGCATTGCCATCTTTCTGCAGAAGTTGAGAAAATTTACCAGTGACCCACTAAGCACTAACTCATCACTTGAATGTAGGTTGATCGTTTCTAACACAAAACTACATATCCTAACATAATCAGGAGAAGAATGTGCACAATGGATCAGGGGTTTCATGTTTTAAGAGTTGTGGTTGAGGCATATCTTGTTATATGTAAGTACTATGTACTATGCCAACAAAAGATAAGGACAGCATTCTGAGTGTCCCAAGTTGATGTAACTTGATGTTTCATTTCATAAAAGCTTAGCTATCTTCGTTGGCTTGACATATTAACTTCTCAAATCACGGATTTCAGATCATTAAGAATGAGGGGTTTTTCTTTCGATATGATTCTATTCTATTTGGAACAATGACTGAAGTCAATTATAAATGTTTTCTTACATAATCACCTCAAAACTAACGATAATGATTTTGTTCGGTAGTTGGTATGGTGAATTCAACAATACTTCATGCCATTGCTCGAGCAATAATAATTTTTCATTTGAATCTTTTTTCAATTACCACCGTATAAAGTCAAGAAATGTGAACGTAATAAGTTTTGATCATAGAATGGTTAAAATTAAAAAAATTAATCCATTGTGATATGATTATTTAAAAAAACATATATTTATTTTTAAAATTTGACTATTCAAATTAAGTGAAAGATTAATTTTTAAGGATGTGAGGAAAAATAGAATAAAATAAACATACCAAAATAGATAATCATAAATAATATTTAATTTTCACCATTTATATTTATATATAACTGTAAAATTAAAATTCGCCTCTTTAAAATTCATATCTTGCTTTTCACCGTATAACACGAGTGCCCAATCGCAGTGCTTTCCTTTCACCCTCAAAACACAAATCCCCTCTTTTTCTGCTTCCAATTATCCCTTGTTTTTTGTTTGTTCTTCAGCCCATGACGACGTCGTCGTTTGGAGTTGCTGCGAGTCACTGAAGTACCACAACGTTCAGATGCCTAGCTCTCGCGGCTTGAGGTCTGTATCTGCATGTTGTTCTTTAGGTAGGGTTAGTTCTAATTGAAGGTCTGATACAACTTTTCATCTGTTTTTATGGTTATATGTCCTGTTTGAGGTGAATTTCTGTTTGTTGAGTTTTACTTTGGTTGATTCAACTGCACTTTTGATGAATTGAGTATGATTTTTATGGACGTTTTGATATTATGGATTTACTTGATTAATTGTTTGTATATTGTTCCACGTATCTATTTATAAAGTATCTTCTATCCGTAGGTGCTTTTAATAAGGAATGTAGTTTAAGAAAACAATAAGATTAAGTACCTGATTTTGTAATTAAGAGTGATTGAGTCCTGAGATTAAGAGAGTTATGCAATTGCCAATCAGTTAGATAAGTTACAGGCTGGTGGGTTCTAAATTTCTATTTTCCGCATGAATTGATCTGCTAAGTTTTGTGTCTTTATAGGATTTTAATCTACGTTTGTCACAATCTGGGTAATTTCACCTTCTCTTATTCTTTGTTTTCATTCATTGGAAACAATCATTCTGAAAGCGTGTTTGGAACCAATTACCCAATCTTGAAGCTGAACCCTCCACCCTACCTTCTCTCTCATCTTTCTTCGTGTGTTGATGTTGTTCATTTTGTATTCTCTAGCTTTTCATTGTTGTGGACTGCTAAATTGGGATTAAGATCTACAAACATGGGGTTCTTCATTTCTCTGTTGCAGGGTTTTTGCGTATTTTTTTAAAGTTTGAAGTTGAAGGTATTCTGATCTTCGCTGAACTGCGCAAAAAGTGAAAATAGAAAGCACAGAAATTACCGCACTTCATCTACCTAAAAGAGATTAGCCATTATATGCAGAGCCCATTAACTGGAAAACTGGTTTATTTTGGTTCTTCTTTTTCCCTTATACCTTAAACATCAGTCAGATTACCAAACCACATTTAAAGTTAATTGCATTTCAGTTTAGTTTTCTAAACCAAACCACGCACAATCCATATTTACTGCTCTAGGTTTTCTTACCTACTGATTGCAACATTCTTGGCCTGTGGAATTTCTGCTAGCTCAGTGCTGTGGTTGGTGATAACTGTGACGGTGCTTTGATCTTTACATCATACTATTGAAAATCTTGAATCTTGTAACTTGACTTGTGATAACATTTTTTATGCCACTGCCTATCCCTCCCCCTTTATATCTAATTTCATCTTCTTTTATTCTTCAGAATATGGAGATGGTTTTCACATGTGCAAGCTTCCTGGAATAAAAAAGAAAAGTGCAACTGAAATATGATATGTTCTACCACTGATTGCATCAATCAAAGATGGCATGTCTGTGGAGCAAGATTTATTTTTATTTAGTAACGGAGAATTAGGTCTTGCCATATAATATATTCAACCCTGCAGGCCCATCTGAAATTAAATAACTCGGTGCAATGAATCTTAGCATGGTTAATAATTCTTCTTCACCTCATCCTAGATGGAGAAAAGTAGCATATGGCGGTATGCAACCTGGTTATGATGACAATCATACTGACGAATCTTTCCTTGAAGGAATGGTCATGAATGCCAGTGTTGTAAAAAGGGACATGCTAAAGGTGATGCTGGACTCGGTTTCCATCTCTGAATATTTGTGCATTGTTGCTCTTGTTGTCTTTGTCTGGACTTGTACACTCACATCAACTATTGATGAAAATTATCTCCTTTTTATTGATGTAAGTCTTCTTGTTTCAGGTTTTCTAATTCTCCTTTTTACCCAAGAAATGCTTTCCCTTAGCCTTCTCCTCCATTATTTCCTCAATATCTCCTTTTTCATAACTGCGTTATATGTTTTGGCTCCCATCTATCAAACTCTTACAAGGTCCATTAGTTCAGATTCCATTTGGGCAGTAAATGCATCACTTATCATACTTCACCTTTTTCTGCATGACTATTCAGAATCCACCGTCAAAGCCCCCGGGGTTCTGAAGAATCCTGCATTGACCAGCTGTATCTCTGTAAATGCTTCTGTAGTTGCCTCTGTTTTTATTGCCTCTCGCCTTCCATCAAGACTACATGTGTTCGCTATCATGTTATTCTCATTGCAGGTTTTCCTTTTTGCTCCACTGGTTACTTACTGTATTAAAAAGTATTCCTTCCGCTTGCACCTATGCTTTTCTATCAGTTTGATGGCCATGACATTAAGTTTTGTGTACATGCTGCATCGCTTACTTTTTGTGCTGCTGCTGAGTTTATTAGTTTTTGTCAACGTGGTCTGCCCTTATTGGCTTATAAGGATTCAGGAATACAAGTTTGAGATCAATGGGCCATGGGATGAGGCTAAGCTTTGTTTTGATATCACTGACTGAAATCAGAAATTGGTTGATGTGGCACTGTAGTAGTACCTTGTGAGCTGTTTACGTGGAGTATAATTTGTTGAATACTTGGTCAGTGTTTAAGTTTTATAGTTGATGGGAAGGTCCTTGCCGTTCATGTCAAGGATGGTAACAAAATGACGTTTGTATTCATTCTTTAGAATGATAAGTATGATGGTTTAAAAATTCCTTGGGTACAAAGGAGGTACGTTCAAGATTTAGAGCACCATTCATTGTTGACACATTCAACCGCCTTGTTTCGCAATTAACAGTTGACTTTTTTCTTTCAAGCGTTCCACAATCTTCATGGGGCTTATGTACAAAAGAATAACAAATAAATTCCTAAGCTTCTTTCATTTTGGCATGTTGAAGCTTATTGTTGTCTACACTCCTGATTAAGTGTAATGAATGTTATTTATAAAATGGAGTCTTACGTGCTAAAAATTTACACTTGTTTATTTCCCCACTAATAACCCGTGATAATGAATTCATTTACGTCTTTGTGCTACAAATTTACACTCGTCGTTTCCGTTTACATTTAAATGTCTTACTCCAGCAGTTATGATTACTTAAACACGCTACCCATATTCATCCTCACGTGACCAACAACGATTTTGACGCTACAGATGAAGAGATTCTCGTGGAGAAATAGTATTGTAGAATGATAAGCTGGTAGCAACAGTATGATAAGTTTTTCATTGTTGTATCAATCGTGGATAGATGAGCAAAAGAGAAAAAAGCTTCGATAATAGGAATTGGATATTAAAGATTAATCTAACTATGCATTTGAATTCAAAATTTAAATTTTGGTACCATAACTTTAATTGGAACAACATTGTTTTCACGATTTATTGAACAAATTATATTTATAATCCTTAAACTCAAGCGATATGTATTTGATATCCATGTTTCTTTATCATACACAAACTTGTCTTGATAGGCCCTCTAATACAAATATGGAACTTGGAAATCAGTTAGCTCAGTAAACAATGGGCTAAGGTGTGGAGGGTATATACAAAGATAACTAGAAAAGAGAGTAAGAGGAATGCTAAAGTGGCAGGAAAAGAGAAATATGTTGGGTGGGTTGGTTAACAAAGTTTTATTTTTTAGTTATAAAGAAATAAGTGAGATATGTGTATGGAGGAGAGAATATTACCTTTTTTGGTTGTTATGCGTAAAGAGCAATAACTTACTATAGGAGCTGTGCTCTCAGGGTGGTAGAATATCCATCCTTTGTAATCTCTAATTCTAATTCAATAAATATACCTATTTTGTCTCTGATTACGTGTACATTACTTGATTTGTGTAACTGATATTGGTTTCTCAACTCAATAATAGTGTTTTCTCTAACCCCAATTATTTTAGTAAAAAAGAAAGATGAGACATAAAAGATGTGTGTGGATTATAGGAAACTAAACAAATTAACTATAGCTGATAAATTTTATTTTCTAATCATTGATGAATTATTAATAGGGATATTGTTTGGAGGGCAAGTGTACTCATCGAGAAGTAATAAAAGATTTTTAAATTAAGTTCCCGAAATATCGTCCCACAAGGATTGCTTTTCAATTACTAAGAATTTCTTAATTCAATTGTTTAAGCTTCAAAGATATGAGATTAATTAAAACAAGAATTTATAAAATTAATTATAAAACTAAGTGCAAGAAATACAATACTCGTCTTGGTTAAACTTATCGGAGAGGAACCTACAACATATGAGTTTTCTCATTCAATCCTTTATTTTATTTTTCTGTTTATCTCTAAATTCAATTTCCTTGTGATTACCAATCATTCATACGAATACTATTAATACCCAATGGTCATGCAATATTAATATTCTTTTCTCTAAATCAACATCCCCAATGGTCATGCAAAATATTAATTTAAGAAAGCTTAAGGAGCCTACGAACTTATTAATTTAATAACGATTAGAAGAGAAAGATTGGTTTGGTCCACCTAATTCTTTGTCTTATTTTACCCTATAGATCTATTAATTAATCGAGGTACGGTCGCCTGACGATATAATTAATTAGGATTAAGAAAAAAGCGCAATAGGATAAAATTTAATCACAAAATGAAAATTAAATTTAGATTCAAACATCAAAATTTCATAAATTGATGAATAATAGTTCCCATAACCCTAGCTATGGACTTGGTTACTCATGCTAAAGGAAAAAACTAAAACAATCATAAACAAAGCCATAATAAAAAGAAATAGCAAACTAGAGTATGAGATGTGTTCCCGGTCTTCAAGTACGATCGCTTGAAGTTTCAAGTCTCGTCAAGCATGTGCCAAGGATCCTGTGCAAGAGAGACGAGATGAGATGTATTCTAGAGCAAAAGTCAAGATAAAAATAATGACCCATACGATGCCTGAGGTCTTCCTTTTAATAGGGCTTGAAAATCCTAAAGACTCTTCATAATTGGGCTTCCTGTAGATGAGCACAGCCGTGCAAGGCTTTAAGCACGACCGTGCATGGGCTTGAAACACCCCGTGCTTGTTGAAAGATTTTGAGCGTGTTGACTGCTGCGAAACTCTAATCTTCCATCAATTTGGGCCCAAAATGCACCCAAAATGCACTTGCGGCCTCTTTATACCAAACTACATAATTAATATATAAATTAGTGTAAAACCCAAATAAAATAAAGGTCAAATATGAATATATGGGCTGTAAAAGAGGGTCTAATTACAGACTTATCAGATATGCATGACCAAATTTTTCACTAAGCTAAATTTGAAATCAAGTTACCATTGAGTGAAAATGAAGGAGGGAAACATTCACAAAATAACAATTGGAACATATAAGGGTTACTAAGTATTTCATATGAGGCATGTGGGGGAAATAGGAAGAAATGTCATTTTGCCAGATTGACCATAGAATATTTAGGGCATGTCATCTCTCAAGAGGGTGTTTCGATGGATCTAGAGAAGATTAGGAGTGTTTTGGATTGGCTAAGCCTAAAAAATGTAAAGTTTCTTGGGCTAATTGAATATTATAAGAAATTTATAAAGGATTATGAAAAATCAACAAAGTCATTCACTAACTTGATAAAAAAAAAAAGGATGGATTCAAGTGGAATGCTAATGCTTAGGAAGCCTGTAACGCCTCAAAATTTGTAATAATAATAATATTTTTGAATTAATAATATAAATGTATATGGATTGCTATGTGTTTGTGTGTTTGAGTTATATGATAATGATAAGTATTGAATGATGATGTGAATATAGATGTATATGTGTTTGATGATGTGGATGCATATGAATAAGTGAATGTTGATTATGCACGGAAAATGTTTGGTTGGGTTTGGGCTGGAATAATTGAGAGAATTAGCTAAGTGTGTGTTGCAGGGTGTTCTCGCTACAGGCCTTGGGTGTAGAGCATGAGTCTGTGGTGTTCTCGCTGTAGCGAGAATGTAACAGATGGAGTTGTATTTCTAGGTTGTAGTTTCGCTATAGCGAGAGGGTCTTGCTGTAGCGAGATTTTGCAAAAATCAGAGTGCAGTTTCCTCTAAGATTTTTGCTGTAGCGAGAGGGGATGTCGCTGCAGCAAGGTTCTCACTGTAGCGAGAGTGTTGCGATCAGAAGGGTATTTAAGGGGTTTAGGGTTTGAGAAATTCATTTTTCCATTCCTCTCTTCAAAATTTCTTCGATTCTTCTCTTCAAAATTTCTTCGATTCTTTCAACTTTTGACCCGTTTTCACCGATTAAACTGCCTCCAAAGCTGTTGGTGAGCAAGATTGAAAGTTAGAATCACGTTTGGAGCGTTTGGAGGTAAGTTTTGATGGCTAAGGTTTTGATTTTCGTCCCTATTCTCTCTTTTCTTGGTTCTCTTTGGTTTCTCATGGAATTCTTCCATGCATTTAGGACGAAATCCATGTGGGGAGCGTTTCCATTGTTGAGTTTCACGTTGGGTCTTCATTCTGAGGTAAAGGGGGACTCTACCCTATCTCTTGGTGTCTTGAATTTGTTTATATTGATAAATAATGCAATGTGGTTAAGATAGGATGTAGGAAGATGTATATCTAATGAGAATGACTTGATTGAAATTGTATTGTGATAGAAATTTCATGTGAAAGGTAGTGTGATTGATGTTTGATTATAATATGGTAGTTATTGGGTTATATGTGTGATGGAATGGTTTAATTATGTTTGGATCATAATGGGAACTTGTGTGGAATACAATGTGATTGATATTGATTATGATGATATGTGTGAACATGTCGTTGATTGATGTTGAATAATATGAAATGGTTGGACGTGTGTGGAATGACATGTTGAATGCGAATGTGGATGTGTTTAAATATGTTGGAAAAGTATGAATGGTTCAGTGATGCACTAGGGGTGTGAAAGATGGGAGCGGTAGAAAAACCTTAGGGAAGAGAGGGTGGTGGTGACACCAATAGTGAGTGTGGGTGCACCACAGGCCTTTGCTTGGGGGCGGTAGAAAAACCTTTGCTTGGGGGCTCAATGATAAATCCACATTTTACCATAATTTTTAGTATAATTTTGTTAATAAATAAGTAGTAAAGTGCTAAGTAAACTTGAAAATATCATAAAAATTGCATTAATATTCATAATTGTGTAAATAGTTTTGATTTTTAGATTTTTAGTCCAATTCTGAACAATTTGACTTAAAAAATGACTTAATCCTTGTGCAGAAGCTTGAGCTGAGAATTTGAGTTGAAGATTGAAGTGAAGAAAGTAGAGGAATTGAGCTTAAAAGATGAAGAATCAAGTGTTATATGAAGGGTGTAATCATTCTGAGTACATAGAGTGAACACTTTGAAGAAGAAAATTCATGAAGATTAAGAGAGTAGCTACTTTAAGTGTTCAGAGTAGCTACGCAAACATGCGCGTAGCCACTTCAAGTGCCCAGAGTAGCTATGCAGAGCGCGTAGCCATTTCAAGCGTTCAGAGTAGCTACGCCCAAGGCTAATTCAGAACTGCACAGTGCACGTAGCTACTTCAAGTGATCAGAGTAGCTACGCAATTCAGCACGTAGCTACTTCAAGTGCCTAGAATAGCTACGCAGTCAGCGCGTAGCTACTTCAAGTGCCCAGAGTAGCTACGCAAAAATAACAGAATTTTAAATATCACTTCTAAGTGTTAACTTTGGACGATTGGAGTTCTTAAATCAGTTTTAGAAGCTTCTAGAAGATCTTTGATGCTAGAACTTGAGACAGAAAAATAATTAGGGTAAAAACTGTATATACTTTCTTGTGATTCAGAGGTTCTTATAAGAGAAATCTGTACAAAACTAGATCCCTTGATTATAGGGATTGACTAGGTA